GTCTTTCTTCTCTGGGAAGACTTCCAGGTAAGTCTTCTACGGAACCCTAAAAACACATACAATACTAACTTACATTCACTCATCTATGTTGAAAACAATTAAATTTTATTAAATCTAAATTTTTATCATTTACAAATACTATAATTAGATGATTATGATTTTTCCCATATCAAAATATTTTTAATGAAATTTATAAACTATTTTTAAGACCTATAGTATGAGAATACTTTCAGGCAAGTCTTCTCTTGAGATGCATGCATAGTTGGTCAGACACATTAGATATGCTACCTTATTGTTTTATACCATAGAGTTTTTTGTATGCAATTAAATATTCTTTAATAGCGTGTTTTCTTTGTTATTATTTACGTTAAATTTCTTTATTTTTAAATTATTTTTCGTTTATTTATTTAGAAGTAAAAATAAGTAAAATTTAAAAATAATTTATATATTCAAATTTTCTTTATTATTTAAACTGATTTACAATTAAATAAGTTTACAAAAATATATATAAAAAATCTAATTAAATATAAAGGTATATAACAATAAGGTAGCAGCACAAAAACTGCTATCTAATGTGTCAGACCAACTATGACGGACGATGATACAACACTTCATAAACCACTATCGTATTTCGTCCGCTAATAAAAACCATTTTTCTTGTAGTGTAGAAATCTTAGATTGGCACTCATATACGACAAGAATGAACCCGAGTTTCATCAAAACATTGTTTGGTAAACTGTGAATGTGAAATCCAATTAATAAAATTAATCTGGATGTTGAGTTTGCTCTAGTTTCTTTTCTCCAAGGCACCATTATCAAGACATTGCATCTGAATCGATTTCCCGAGCCGACAGAGCCATCTTCCTCTTCCTCGAGAATTCCTTGGTTTATTCTTTACTTGCAACTTTTTCACTGAAAGATTACAAATGTCTTTTGATTCTTGACTAGAACACACTACAAAGTAAAAGTTGCCTGTGAGGCTCCGAAACATCTTTTCGATGATTTTGACTTTGTCAATATTCTCTTTACAAATTTTCATATAATTGGTAGTTTCCATGACTCTGACAAAGTACCATGTTACTTTTTCTCCAACTTTTATCTCCAAAGTTTCCAATGGTTTAATTAGTTATTGAAGTTGTGAACACTTCACCTTAGCATTTAATTGATGCTTAACTTTCATTGATTCTAATTGTTTGGCGGTCTCTTTTTGAGCTATTTTCTTCAACGTGCTTTTGTCGATTCTTTACCTTGAGATCTTAGAGTTTGCTTCATTGAGAGATTGTTTTTGAACAGGGTTGGGAGCTTTGATTATGCTTAGATCTTTAAATCCTGGATCAATGACAATCAAATATTCTGAAGATCGGATAAGATTCTCCATGATCAAGCTCCACTGATCATAGTCTACCTCAAACATGGAAACTTCAGGTGTTGTAAAACTTCCAGCACCTGCCATTTTCTATGTGATGTTTTCCCTTGCATACATTCACATGATGTTGTGCTGATACAAGTAAAGGAAAAAGAATTGAATTGAATAATTCCCTTATTATAGCTGAAAATAGTTTGCGAGTTTTTTAAGTAAGTTTTACAACATCAAAACACAAAAATATGAAAAAAACTCTAACATCTTATACTTATTCAATCCATAATACAAGATTTACTTATTCAAATCTTGATCATATACAGCTTCCAACAAGAGGTCAATTCAAACGGGGAAAATTGCATTAGAACCTTGAAAGTAGCAGTTAATTACACTTTGAATCATTAAATTATTTAATTAACATATGTAACCATAAAACTTAAACTTTCACAAATACCATAAATCTAACTTACCTTTTCACTACGTAGAAAAAAAGACCAGTCATGTCCATAAGGAAATAAAAAAGATAATGTATCAGTTATATTATTTAAAATATTTTTTTTAACTGAGAACTGTAATTTATTATTTTTTTAACTGATAAAAAATATTATTTTATTATTTTAACTGATAAAATAACTAAAAATAAGTATAATTTATATAAAAGTAGCAAATTTAAAAGAATGAAAACCAACACCGTCTTTGATGATATACGAGGAAGCCAACTCCATCATCGGTGATATACAGGCAATCCAACACTATCACGGCGATATATCAGTAAATTATCACCACCAATGGTAATATATATGGAAACCATCATTATCACCGAAAATACATGGGTAAATGCCTCTATCATCCAAGATATGTTGGAAACTGTCACAAAAATTGCACCACCATCAGTAGAGGTTAATCAACACCGTTGATGGTGTAATTAATGTTAAAAAAAACTATCACCGTTGAATTTTAAATATTATATTATTTTTCTATTAATTATATTTTAATTTATTTTTATTAGTTAAATAATATTTTAAATAAGTTAGCTAACACATCCTCATCATTTTTACCAAATTAACATTCCCGACCATAGTTTTGACGTGGTAAACAACTAATTTAATTAAAATATTTCTGTAATACAATATTCAGTTTTGTTGTTAAATATGTTGGCTAAATAGTTTTGATGTTTAAAATGTACCTGAATACCACTTTTAAGCTTTTTGTGTGTTTCCCCTAGGAAATGTGGTTCTTTTAAAATATGTTATACTACGTACTGTTTTTTATTTCTTTGGATTTTCATTTTCTTTTTAAATTAAATGTTAGTAATGGAGATCGCTATTGGAATAACAGTTGGTACTAAAATATAGCACTGTAATCTAATTTCTTTTTTATATCAAAAAAACTATTCTATCACCCCAACTAGAGGTGATATGAAAATTTAAACATGAACAGAACAGTTAACAAAAACTAGATTTCTAGAAAAAAATATGGGTAATCTTGACTAAAAAATCTGATGTCTGCTTTTGCGCTCGGGATGTGTGTAATATTGATGTTCTGGAATCTTTCTTGTAGAGATGATATCACCACCAATTCTGTTCGAAAACTCGACCATGCTTTGGGTCTTAAATCATTGAGACATTGTTTTTGCAATTTTTTCCAAAGTGATAATATTTCGAGTGCTGGAATATACTATGCACATGACATCTATTACAGTTTAGTAAGTTGCGAAAAATATTAAACTAGATTTTTAACTACACTTTAAAAATCAGGGTTAATCACTTATAAAATAAGTCATAATTTATTTCGTGGAGCTGGAAAACCACAAAAGAAAAGATAATTAGGTATCCATGCAAAAAAAAGATTATTTAGGTCGTCGGATATATGAACCAAAGGAAGTTACTACTTTGTCCAGTTGTGATACACGTGAAGAATAGATAAGTTGTAGTGCTGAATTTATTTCTTAAAAAATTATGATCAATATTTTATTAGGCCTTTATAATTACTACTATTAATCTTTATTTTTTGTTTCAGTCTCAACCTCTAAATAATAAAGTCTAAACCCTAATAAAAAAATGTAAATCTAAGTATAAATCATAAATTCAAATAGAATATAACAAACTAAATAGCATAATACATACTGGTAAAATTATGAAAGTCTATGATCATTAAAAGTGTGATTGGTTTTTCCGCTACCACTCGTAATCACAGTTTTTGCGGTTACAACGGTTGTCAGAATTATGAAACAATCATACAAACTGCTATAAATCGATTCAAATAGCTCCGAATCTCTTAAAATCAAAAGCTGATTCCAGTTAACATTTGCGGTTGCAAGCGGTTGTGAGCAGATAAATAAATATAAAATTATTTTTAAAATTATTTTCAAATTTTAACTAAAGTTGGAAATATTATAAATAAAATATATACACATTTTATACATTAATTTAAATTCACAAACAGTATCAATATTTGTTTTATAAAAAATTTAAACTAATAATTTATTAGAATTTTTAAAAATTAATAAACATACATATATAAAGCTATACACATATATAAAATGAACAAAATATTCTTTTAAAAGTTTTAATATAAACCTTCAAAAAATATGTTTTACTAAATTATACATTTCAAATAATCAAAATTAAATAAGTAAACAAAATATTATTATTAATTATATTATCATAATTATTATATTTTCTCACAATAGTATATTTTTATATTGTATAGTGTTATAATATTTTAACTATGTTAATTTATTATTAAACCGCTGAAATATCTCATAGTCAACCAGTCGTAAATATCCCGCAAATGCAATACTTTTAAATGTTTTGCCTATCATACCAAACATTTAATAACGTTTGAAATCGCAACTACCCGTATCCGCAAACTCCCGCAACTGCAACCACTGCGTTTGCATTTGAACCAATCAGACACTAAATCTTAAACTCATATCTTCTATATATGAAACCCTAATCACTAAACCTTAAAGAAAGTATAAATCATAAACCCAACTATAATAAAATAAAATATACAGCAAAATAAATATAGATGAAATTATGAAATATATATGATTAATAATCTTAAATCCTCTCCTTTTAAATATTAAATCCTAATCACTAAATTATAAACCCAAATATAAATCATAACTCCAATATCAAAACTTGAAAATAGTATATAATGGTATGTTCTATTAAACTATATAGTATATTAAACTTTACAAAATAGGTAATAGTGGAGTTTTGACAATTTATTACACTTTTCCAGCGTAAAGATTTGCGTGAACTAAGAGTAGCAATAGGGTCTTGATTGATATTTTCCGGTCAGCTGATAGAATGAGCAGGTCTATAGGGTTATTGCTGCCATTTAGAAAGTTCAACAGTAGCATGTCCATTTGCCTAATATATAAGTTTTTCATAGTTACTGACTGCAATTACTCTTTTAATTATGACAAATCGGAGGTTTTTCGACCATGATTTTACCATGACATATTCGTGTAAATAAGCCACGGCTTGTCACAAAATTTTCATACTTTATTTAGTCATGAAATAACTTTGTCAAACAGGTGACTATTTCATAAATATTTTTTAAATCACTAATAGAATAATTTTTTAAAATATATAATATTTATGTTAAAATATTTTAGCAAATAAAATTGATTTACCCATTAATGTTTTGTTTATATATTAAAACTGATTTACAAAATAAATTTGCATCATCTTTCTCTCTCAAAACATGTATCTCCCTTGCAGAAACCCCTGACGTGGAAACATCTCTCTCCCAATTTTTTTTTTTTTTGGTATGTAAAAAACATCTCTCTCCCTTACAATTACAGTAACCCAAAAATACACTCTTCCATCAGAATGACGTGTTCCATAGACCATAACTAAAGTTATTTGAAAGCAATCACGAAAATTACATAATTACACAAGTATTTGGTTCCTCCACAACTCTGTAATTCTCGTATGGTTGATAGTAAGAATTTGCAGAGGAGTAATGATATTGGTACGGGTTGTTAAACTGCGTAACCGGAAAGGCAACAATTTCGGTCGGTTTAGTTGGAGTCAGTTTCTCCGGTTCAGGCTTTTTCTCAGGTGGTTTAACAACTTCAACCGTAACGAGCTCTGCATTACATATCTTCCTTAGCTTCTTCACGATTCTTGGTACATCAATTTCACCAACTAATGTCATTTTCCCCGTTTTGTCATCCATTGCTATCGATGTTACGCCTACATTTTTTAGCAAATAATGAAACATGTTAATTTCGCCAACTTTAAAAAGTGATAATCATAAAGTAAATAATGACGTTTTCTTTAAAAAAAAATACCTGAAAACTTAGACACGGTCGCCCACACTCTCTTCCTGATTCTTTCCTTGTGAACACTCAATTGCAACACTGATTTCTGTCATTTGAAACCAGAGATCAGTTTTGCAAATTGTAATAACATAAGTATGAATAACGATCAATCAGACATCAGTAAATTATATTTTAATTATTTCAGGAGCGAATATATATGAAAGAAAGGGTGTACCTGGGCGGTCATAGCTGACGAAAACTATTGAAAAGCTTCAGAAATTTCTGATATATTTTTAAAGAGAGAGAATGAGAAGAGATGTAACCTGGTGACAATTGCAAGTCCAAAGGTATCTATTATATAGAAATTACATAGGAATATGCGTGGAATTTACATATGACCCACTAAAAGTTTATTTTCTTCTTTTTTTTAAAATATAAAGCATTGTGAAGGACCACACAAAAAGAGTGAACGAGTCAATTTATTAACTTTTACTGGTATATTTTGGATTTGGTTGAACATTAAAATAGATGCAACGAGGCAACGACGAAAGCAATAGGAAGAAGTGTCACTTGCTCATTATTAGGCAGCGAGGGACTTGGACAACGTTGAACTTTGACCCCATTGACTTATTCGCCCACGTAAGAGTCAAGACAAGTTCTTTTTTTTTTTTTTTGTAACTGGCAAGACAAGTTCTTGAGAACCAGTTTTAAAGAAGTGTCACTTGCTCCTTATTAGGCAGCGTAAAGGACTTGCACAACGTTGAACTTTGATCCCATTGACTTATTTGGCCATGTAAGAGTCAAGACAAGTTCTTTCGAACCAGTTGTTTAATCTACATTCGACACATAAACGATGTATACATGCACAAATTCGATACTAAGAGTTATTTCAGTGACGTTTATTGATTTGATTATAAATAAAGGATTGAGATGATATGAAAGCTAATCAACTCGAAAAGAACAAGATAAACTGTGAATAAATCTTCTTTATCTTCGAAATTCAACCACATTTCTAATACAATTTTGTAAGTTTACCTTAACCAGATCTCTTTTTATTAAATAGAATCCCTCCCATGGAGCCAATATTTCTTTTGTAAGTTTTAAATTTAATACACTTGTTTACTATATAGTTAAACCCACTCAAGTTAAATAATATTTTCTCCCTTATACTACAATACTATATATGTTTACAAACAACACAATAATTAATTTTGTATTTAAAAAATAAAAAGGATTGAGTCCTAAATTTTTAATTCATCTTCATTTCAATGATTTGGCTTAATCACTCAATTCATTTATGAAACAAATTAGAAATAAGTATAATTATTTTTCACAGGGTTAGATACTGAAAATTAATTTCATTTAATATAAAATTAATTAATTTAATGAATTATTTTATTTATATTTGCATTTAAAACTTTTATTTATTTAAACTTACTAGTACTTTCTTATTAGATTATTTTTATTCTTATGATTATATAAATATTAATGCGAGATTATGCTTTGTTTAAGTTGATATAAACGAATTTTATACAAATGAAATATTAGAATCAATATTGCCGAAAAAAAGAATCAATAGATTGGCATAAGATAAGTTTTCTATTTTAAAATTTATCAAATAAGTATATATCACACAATTATTTTTGTCATCATATCACACAATTTATCAAACTAATTACATATATTTCATAAATATTTATAAAACACATGGTGAAATAAGTTTTTTAAAAATTAAGTAATAAATAATTTCATATTCAATATAAATACAAATAATATTATATTTATATATTTTTCAAATACACTAAAATTAAAATGTTTAAAATTTAATTATCATAAAGGTTAAACTGTCTTAATTTTGAAATTAGATTTTGTTAAAAAGTATTACAATGATTTTAACACGGGTTCAAATCTAATTTACCTTTAGTTATAAAGAAGTAAAAACGCTTTTATCCTAGCATTAACTAATATAGATTTAGTGTTTAGATTTGAGGGGTGAGGTTTTAGAGGTGGAGTTTAAGATTTAATAAATAAATAAATAAATACTTAAAATTTAAAAGTAGTTTCAAAAAGAATTTTTGAATTTATGATAAAAATTTGAAAAATAAACCGAAATGAAAAAATATATAAAAATTGAATTGAAAATTTATAATTTGAAAACTATAAATTTTGTTTTTATTATTTAATAACTATTTATAATATTATCTATATATATAAAGGTACAAAGGACTTTTGATATTTAATAAAAAATGTATTTGAAATGTCCTTCTAATGAAGGTAAACATAAATAGTGGTACAAAAAATAAGATAAAATAGGATTCCCCCTTTCTTTGTTGTGTCTCTTTTTTGTCATCAATATATACAGACTCATATTGATTCTATAAACCAAACTGATAACTCTGCATCGATCTTTATTGTCTCTATATCAGCGTAATCTTCGACTACCTTTTAATCTAGTGAACCAAATTCAATTTATTCGACGAACCTTGTCCGAGGAAACTAATCCATCTCCAACACCAGTTCTAAAATAAATAGTACTACAAATACATCAAAATGAAAACTGAAATCAAAATCAACCTAGTTTTGAAGTATAGCGACTCTGATTTTAATTTTCTTGTCTTTAAAGGGCTTTTATTCATAAGAATACATAAATATGAAATATTATATTTACTTCTTCTTTCATAATCTATATTATTAAAGCATAAGTCATGATTTCTTTCATGCGTAATTTCTTTTAATTGGACCATCTTTAGAATACTGATTAAATTGCATGTAATTTAGTTATGATATCTTTTAATATACTTATTTTTATTTGAAAAACATAAAGATTTTTTAAGAAAATACTGAGTCAAAATTTCTCAAGTATGTTTATTCCATTGAGTAAAAAAGAAATTCAATCTATTATTTAATCATTTATACCAAAATGGTTTAATTAATCACTATATAATAAATTTTGACATATCCTGCAACCATAAATAAACGAACTATATATATGAAAGGAATAGATACATTATAGGCATATCTAGAACCAATAATTTAATTTATACAAATATTTCATATTTAGAAATAAAACAAAAGATTATGTAAAATGGATTTTGTTACAAAATACAAATGAAAAAAAAAAATCTTATAAGTCATGTTAACATATATGTATTGTGGAGTTAGATAATATATTTACAACAACCTATATTAATTTATTAATAAATTTTGTTAATGAAACTAAAAATTTTAATACGGAGAGAAAACCCGCACATCTATGTGGGTCAAGATCTAGTACGTTATTACAATTATTACAAAAATCCTAACAAATTTTCTTAAGAAATCCACTAGAAATTTCAGGTTGCCACACATACTATCATATAATATCCTATAATATTAGATCTCCATCAAGCTATGACCTTGTACAATACTTGTCAGATATGAAAATTATAACTTTATTTCATTATGAATTAACAATTTAAAAATTATTTCTTTCGAATCAAGAATTACAAACTTAGTTATCCATAGACAATGGTTTTAGTTGGTTTATTATTAACCAAATTAAATTTAAACCAAAATTAATTTTAAGCAAAAAAAGATTTTTTAAAAACTTTATTGACATTTCTAAGAAAAAAACTATGTTTTGATAAAAAAAAATTGATTCTTGTCGGATTTGGTTCCGAATTCGATTGAGTAAGAACAGTGTTGATTGGGTTATTCTGGAATCAGACGTCTGATTTTTGTTGTGGCTGGAGACATAGAATCAGCCGTAAATAAATAAAAATTATGGGTTGACAGAAATGGTGGCCGGAGACGAGTATAGTCAGGAGGAGCGAAGTGATGGTGAAGCAGTCAAATCGACGGCAAAAGAATCTCATTGAAGAAGAACAAGCCGTCGTATTATTCATGGCTCTTGCTTATGTTTTTTATTTGTTTTTCCTTAACGAATATTAGGATCTCATCGATTTGTGTTGATATAGTAATGTTTCAGATTCTCAAAGAAATAGCTAACAAATTCTGTCACAAAAAAGAAGCTAACAAATTAATTTGTATCTCTTCTTTTTTTTTTTTTTTTTTTTTTTTTTTTTTTTTTTTTTTTTGTAACATAATTTGTATCTCTTCAGTTAATAAACTCGAGCAAGGAACAAGGATGATGACATTGACTTATTCTAAGAAAAATGGCTGATGACCTTAAATTTCAGAAACAATAAATTTTATTTTTTATTAAATTAAATTTTTAATAAAATGGTTTTTGATTAAAAGATGAATTTTGGGTTAGCTTAACCGGGTTAAAATTATTTGGTTTATAATAAACAAATTAGAACCATATTCAATGAGTAATTAGGTTTCAACTATTGGTTCGAAGAGAAATAAATTCAAAAAATTTAATTCATGGAGAAATATTTTTATAATTATCATATCTGGGAAGTTCGATACGAGGTCATAGTTCGGTGTGGATCTGATGTTATATAATATTTATTTATGGAAAATATATCCTTTACCCATTTAGTAAACTGCGAATGTGAAATATAGTTACAAAATTAAGCTGGATGTTTAGTTTGCTCTAGTTTCTCATCTCTTAGAAACCATTATCAAGACGCCACGTCTGAATCAATCTTCTAACGCCGATAGAGCACTTATTTTTTGGGATCGACCTTCTCAACATTGGCTAATGTTTGCTTTCTGCTTAGCCTAAATTCAGCACATTCTAGATGTAGACACAAATTTGATGGTCAGTTATTTTATTTGAATGACATTGATTGCTCAATCCAAGGCGATTACAAAGAAAAAGTCTAAGACTTTGTGAAAAGATGATCAACTTGGAAAGAATAAGGTAAACTAGAAAAACCATAATCTTGTGCCAGATTGCTCATATGTATGTGAATCTCCTTCCTCATCCTTGGTCTTTTCTTTTTATAACCGACTTATTTCCTTTATTCTCTCTAAGTGTGTGTATATTTGACCGTGTGGGAACCGAAATTCACCTACTGTCAATGAATCGTAAATAAGAGAACTTTGAGTAAACCCTAAGTTCCCAGAGGACCCGGTTATCTGCGGAACCGCACAACAACAATTAAGAAAACGATGAAATAAAAATTAAAGTAAGAATGAGCGAGATGAAGAGCAAGAAGGATCTTATTCCGAATCTGCGTAAGAACGGTTACAACGAGAGTGGCCTTAGCTACGTGAGCCGTCGGCGAAATCTCTAACTCTAGAAGTCTAAGACCGAAAAACCCTAGTTGAGACGCAGCTCGATAACAAAAACGGAAAAGTTCCTAAATGTTAAATTTGGTGGTGAAAGCTCTGAAAAACGTGTCCCTGCTTCTGCCCTATGCCTCTTGCTTATAT